GTGTGTGTGTGTGTGTGTGTGTGTGTGCGTGTGTGTGTGTGTGTGTGTGTGTGTGTGTGTGTTCACATCATCTTTTCGTCTAGTTGTTGGTTGGACAGGTGGTATATGATGACGAATCGAAGGTGTTTGTCACTGGTTTTTCAGTCATTTGGTGTGTGTGTGTGTGTGCGTGTGTGTGGGTGGGTGGGTGTGGGTGTGTCATATTTTCCTTTACTCGTTTGTTGGACAGGTGGTATATGATGAAGAATTGAATGTCGTCCCTACTCCTCTTCCCTCCTCTTCCCTCGTTCCTCCCTCGTCCGTCATCGTCATAGTCCTTGTCCTCCCTACTCCTCTTCCTCCCTCTTCCCTCCTCTTCCCTCGTATGGACTGCGAGTGTCAACAATGGCGACAGAGGCTTGCTGGAAAGATGGACGGTACCGGTAAGGGCATATGGGAAACTTTTCCGGTGGTTCTCAACAGGCAGCCCGTAGGGGCATCTTGAAAATTTGGCACCGGTACCGGTAGGGGCATATGAAACATTTTTGAGGCCCAAACGACACCAGGAGTTTTCTGGAAACATCGTTGGTCGTCAGAGGGGCGGGACAAGGTAAGTCGGCCGTCGGAGGGGCACGTCGCAAATAAACGCAAACTTCAGAAGCATTTCGAAAATTTTCCTTTTTTTTTTTTTTACCAATAAGAAGATTGAGGCTGGGGTCCTCACAGTCTGCCCGGAGAAACCGAACCGAACTTGCTGAGAACCGGCCTCAGCGTCAAGAGAGTTGGAACCGTGAAGTAGAAAACCTGAAACCTGATGACTTGCAGGGGAGAGGTATGTTGTGCCAGTTGTGGTTTTCGAAGACATGGGCACAGGGAAATCAATCAGCCTCAGTCTCAGTGGAGCCGAAACTGGTGATTGGTCCATCATCCATGGTTTGCCAGTACGGGTCCTGTTCAGTTTGGGCATGGTAGCTGAACTTGTGGAATGGAGTCAATGGACCACGTCAGAAGTATATTAGGCTTCTTTAGGCCCATATCTATAACCACATTTAATTTATAGTATTAGGAAGGTAAAAGATAAAAGGATATTGCCATACAAAAATTTGCCAGTAGTCCAATGTAGGGTACTATCAGGAATAAGGGAGATGAGAATAAATTCAATAAAGGTTTATAAAACACATCAAGAAGATGAAAGATGTACTAGTCCTTACTCTCACATAGAGATTTTACAAATAATTACATCTTTACATGACAAAGTCGTAGCAGTGAGACCATTACCCTTTCTGCCTATCTCTGCTCAAGTCACAATTATATTGGAATGACACCTTTGTCTCCTTGGAACACATCTGTTTCTAGGTGGTACTTTGGTAAGCTGTTTTCGCAGAAGATGGAGGGCACACTATACCCAGTTTCCGTCCAAGCCAAATCTGGGTAATTGCCCCATTACTTTCGGGGTAAAATTTCTAAGGTCGTTGGTCTCGATCTCATCCTTCGTTGTTTAATAAAGATATCAGTTTCCTGAGAAGAAGAAAAGAAAAATCAAACCAAAGAGAGGAAGTTCTTTGGACGTTCTTTTAACACAATGAAACCATTCACGTTCTTTGTTGCTTCTCTCATGTGATACCCTGCTGTAATTTTTTGTCACAGCTTTGCTCTATTTTGCCAATGCAACCCTTCAAGGGGAAGCTCGCGCCAGATCAAGTTAGCAGTCAAATCACGTTCACTTGCTTGTTTCCTCCTCAGCGTCGTGAAAAGACACAGGAGGTGAGTCAGAGGGGAGGAGGAAAAAGTAGATGTATGCGAACACTCCAAAACTGTGTGTTTTGGTGTTGAATCCATGCACAAGGAATCGAGCATGTTGGAAGGCATGAAGTTTGACAGATTTATACTGACCGCACTCCTCACAGGAACAACGGAGCAACTTGACAAAATTTCGACATAGTTGATCATACGGAGTTTACGGAGTGCACACACACACGCACGCACGCACCCACACACACACACACACACACACACACACACACACACACACACACACATACTTTTTGTGACCTGGATGTGTTTCATAAGGTTTCTGATTATGACATACTTTTCTTATTTACCTAATGTGTTTGGCCCGGGTGAGAGCAAGGGTTTTTCCTACTATGCTTGATTGAACATGTGTTGCTACATCGATACATCTTCCACCCAGAAATATGAGTCTGCGTTGAGTTTCTTATCTCTCCTGTTTGATGCTATGATTTTGGTATGTTGCGCGTTGAAACTGACCTGAATCAAACTAAATATATTGTTTCGGCTTGTCTTGTGACTAACCTTTTGATTTTTCTTTCAGGAGCCCATGTCCTGTGGTGGCAGTCACAGTAAGGGCGGGGTTTCTTGCCCTTTCCTTCCACACAGTGAGCATAGTTAGCTCTCCACCCAAGGAGTGCCAAATTCAGGTGCTGAGTACTACTCATCTCACTCTTGCAAGACATTTTCCTTGACATAAACCTTACACATAGTTTCATGTGAGTATCAGACACCTCTTCCTAACAGAATAGCTAGTCCTGTCGTACCTGGCGACTAGGGCAGTTGCCTAGAGCACACTCACAGGTGGAGGCATTCTGTATAGCCGATCCGTCGCTTGGTAAGCTTTAAGGTAAGGACCTGTAAGGGACGTCGGTAGCCTCCCCGAGCTGAGTTGACGGGCCTAAAACCTTGGACCATGGTGTTGCCTTTTCATTACATCCTCCCTTTGCATTTCTTATGGAGTATGTCTTACAAACTTGTTCAGGACTTCGATAAACACTTCACCTAATAGCAAAGATACAATCATTATTACAATATGCGAATCAAGAAAAACAAAGTATTCGTGAAAACCAAACAATCTTTATAGAGTGGAGAAAACCAAAAATTTTCCACTCATTTTCACTCCGCTGGTGTTACTTTTACACGTTGTATGCCGCACCAAGTGATGGAAAACATACCAAATCAAGGCTCCTATTAGGAGAAGGTGATTAGTGAGACGAAAGCTTGTCCACGGAGCCTCATTTTTATCACATACAAAAGCAGGTCAACAAGTGATCCCAAGAGCCGCTTGTAGTCGAGAAATGAATTCTTTGTTGTGCTGAAACCGCGCAAATATGACAATTCATTCCACAACACTAGATACCACTTAAAAACTTAGAGGGAAGTTAAGAAAACCCAGGCAGGATAAAGATCACTCCAAAATGTATTGCGTTGTACGAAAGCAGGACGTCTTGGCATGTGCACCTTTAGAGTCCTTTCATTAAAGAAGCAGAAAATAGATGTAGTTCAGGCATCCCGAATTCCGTTTGTAGTTCTATAAAGCAAGAGGCAAAGACACACTAGAAAAAAAGAAGAAGAACAAGCACTCCAAGAATGTACGATCTTGTACAAGAACCAGACGTCTCTACATTTGCATGTTTATAGTCTTATAACATATAACGCAAAAAATGGTTGCAGCTTTGAAATTTTCAATTTCATTTATAGTTCTATAAAGCATGACGCACACATACGAGAGAAAAAAGAGAAGGAACAAACACTCCGAAAATGTACGCCTTTGTACCGAAGCCAGACGTTTTGACATTTGCGTATTTATAGTCCTCTAAATTGAAACGCAAAAAATCATCTCAGCTTCGGAATTCTCAATTCCGTTTGTAGTTCTATAAACCGTGACGCACAAACATGCGAGAAAAAAAAAAACAAAGAAGCACTCCAGAAATGTACGCCCTTGTACCGAAGCCAAATATCTTGACATTTGCGTATTTATGGTCCTATAAATTGGAACGCAAAAAACCATGTCAGCTTCGGAATTCTCCATTCCGCTTATAGTTCTATAAACCGTGACACACAAACATGCGAGAAAAAAAAAAACAAAGAAACACTCCGAAAATGTGCGCCCTTGTACCGAAGCTAGACATCTTGACATTTGCGTATTTAACACTGAATTCGTGAAAACCTAACAAAACCACAAAACCTAACATTTTTTATAAAATGAAAAAGTAAAAGTCAAACTGTTATTTTTAACACATAAAAGACAGCGTTTATAACTGTTTTCTAAGAAAGGAGGCAAAAAAAAAGGCAAAAAGTCTAGCGATTCTCAAAATGTGCAAGAAAATCATTTCCAGCAAAGAGCATGTTTTAGGACTATAAGTTGTTCTCAATAGATTGACAAAAAACATAGCTCAAACAAGACAATTTATAATGACTGCAAGACGAACCTGAAAGATGTTAAAAAAAACTGTTTTAGTGAATACTCATTTATAGAACTATAAGTCGCTTTCAACAGTTTGGTAAAAACCAGATTCTGCGAAATCGAGTTTATAGAACTATAAATTAATATAACTTCATTTTTAAGTTAACTGTAAAACCCTTGTCAAAAAATATATGTTATGTAAAAGAAGAATTAAAACAACTTTTGCCTGGGAGACATCTTCAAATTCCTAACCAACGATGATTTAAAATTAAAAAATAAAAAATTATTTAATAAAAACACCAGGTTCTGCGAAATCAATTTTATAGAACTATAAATTAATATAACTTCATTTTTAAGTTAACTGTAAAACCCTTGTCCAAAAATATATGTTATGTAAAAGAAGAATTAAAACAATTTTTGCCTGGGAGACATCTTCAAATTCCTAGTCAACGATGATTTAAAATTAAAAAATAAAAAGTTATTTAATAAAAAAACTTAAAAACAATATATTCGTCCCTGTATGAGAGAATATATCCAAGCAAATGCATTCGTGAATAGGAGAGCATGTGTGCATGTTTGGTTACCCCCGAATAGGTTCGCCGTGCTACATACCTTAAAGAACTATAAATACAAGTGGACCGGCCGCAGCTACGCTGCGGCAGAGGTCGACGACAAAAACAATTTGTGGAAACACTCCAGTCATCAGTTGGACCCGATCTTTGCAATGAACCCCCGAGGGATGCTGCTGCCCAACTGCGCAATACGCCTCGGCAGTCACCAAGTTTTTGTAGGTGTAATTGGGAAAGGCAAAGCGAATTTGAACATGTGGCTAACAGGGGCATAAGACAAACATGTCAGCCCAAAAGGGCATTCCACTGTGCCCATATCTTTTAGCGACATTTTGAAACCCCCGCACGAAAGGACGCTGCCCCGCCATCCCATCGATGGAAGTACCCTCTCTCTCTCTCTCTCTCTCTCTCTCTCTCTCTCTCTCTCACACACACACACACACACACACACACACACACACACACACACATACACACACA